TACAGGTCACAAAATACAAGGAGTAATATAAAATTTAAATGTGAAATTTTTTTAGAAGTTGGTATGTTTGACTTGTAAGTTTAACAGCCGTCACAGAAAACAAAATTGCTACACAAAAGCTACACATAACACTTCATATGTCACTCAGCTGTGTCATCTGAGTACAGCAATACCCCCGTGTGTACCTTTTCCAGGTATATGTGGATGTTGAAGGGGCAAATTTGAGACTCGGCCATTTCAGGTTTGTTTCAAACTTTGAAATTTTTACGCTGGGTCCATGTCCCATTTTGGATCAAACTCTGAGGCACTGTCTGAATCCACTGTCAGAATTCTCTAACTGTACTTCCTAAACATTTTGAACTTTTTACACAAGAACTTTAACAAAACAATGTTATAATAATGTTATTATTTTTACCCCTAGCATACGCACTAAACTCCCCAATTTCCCAGGAACTATCATCCACCTCAATTAACTAAATACAAGTAAAAAAAAATAAAATATATATATATATATATATATATATATATATATAGTCAGTGGTCAAATAACAGAAGAACTACAAGAATATTAATTGTATTGAGAATGTATTGGCCCTGAGTATGAAATAATTTAAAACAGTTCCCAATACAAATGCCAGGCTGAGAGCCTGCATCTTTCTGGGGGGTCTTTTTTTGGGGGGGTTGGTGGTATCCAAAAGCAGAAGTGACCTGTCTGAATATCTCTGCTGCTAGGCCCTGCTTATGGCTCCCCACTGTGGCACTCAGTGAGCAGCACAGAAATTAGCTGAAACTGAAATGTAAGAAAAGTACATTTCAGCTGAGGATTTGCCTTTTTGAAAAGGATGAATATATTGTGAGTAGCCATTTGCATTAAATAAATGCCCACTTTCTTATACCAGGCCATGGTCTATCTCATTATCTGATATGGCTGCAGCAGTTGATCAGACAGGTCAACTCCCCCCAAGTGTTTATTGTATTGCTTAATGCAGACAGGCATCCGTCTTGTTTCCTGTCTGCCACAGACTGCGACCCTGCGTGTGTGTTCACTGTGCATGGTAGTCAGTAAAACACCTCCTTTTTGTCTCTGTATTTCAGAGCCAGCAGTTCGTCCTGGCAGAGAGCAGCCGTTTCCCCCTTTTTAATTTTTTTTTCTCTGCCAGAGCCTTGGGGAAGCCAGTGCGTATCTTGCGGATAGTGCCGCAGACCACAATCTCAAAACAATATAGCATTTTTTGGAGGGGTATGCTATTGTAATAATTATCAAGGTAGAGGTGGTACCCCTTGTTCAGTAGCGGGTTCATTAGATCCCAAACTATTTTTCCGCTAGTCCCAACTACATCAGGGCAACCTGAGGGATCCCGGTGGCTATCTTTACCTTCATATATTCTGAAGGTATAAACATACCCACTGCTACTTTCACATAACTTGTATAAATTATGCCAAATTCTTTATTAAAATGGTTAATTAGGGGGCGCATTTTATAAAGTTTGTCATACTGCGGATGATCTTTGGGGTGGCACTTCGAATTATCATTGAAGTGCAGAAAACGCAGTACTGATTCGTATCTGGGCCTACTCATGGTCTGAGAGAAAATGGGAGTATTGCATACTGGGTTTTTGGACCAGTACATTCGGATGCTGGGCTTTTTTATAATTCCCATTAGCATGGTTAGTGCCCAGAACTGTTATAACTCTGGCACACTGGTGGGGTACCAGCTCCCTTTTGTGGCAAGGTGACTTGCTGCATTTTATGCCAGATACTGTGCTGCATAAATATTTGTCTGTGTAACTATCTGCCCTAAAAAATCATCCCCAAGGAACAGCTCCATAAAATCATGGGAGCTGTAGCTGGTCACGTCTCCCTGAATACCAGGAGTCGCAGTGAACAGAGGGATGTCGGGGACAAAATTGTTAGGGGGCACCCAGTTATCAGCGCCAGGAGTAGTGCCAGGGGTATTGTCACTTTCTTCATCTGTGTCTGGCACATAGTCACTCTCTGCACTCTCTGAGGCAGTGTCGGTTGCCTCTGAATCCGCTGCTAATATATTATATGGCTCCTCGGCACAAAACCTTCTAAGCATGGTGAAGGCTTAAAATTAACTTTAAATAATGTATTTTTGTTTGTTTGTTTTTTTAAACTTTTTTTTATACTGTTTTTTGTTTTCTGAACTTTTTTAAATACTTTTTTCACTTTTTTAAAACTCTTAAAAACTTTCTAAAACTTCTAAAAAAAATTTTTTTAAATGAACCCCTGTGGGTAAAAACAGAAATCAGATCACCGCTAAACACAGTGCTTACATCTAACAAAGCAGAAATGCTTTGACTTAAAATAAACTACTTTTTTCTCTCTTTTTTCCTTTTTTATACTTTTATAAACTTTTAATAACTTTTACAAACTTTTAATACCTTTCTAAAACTTTTCAGCTTCCTAGCTACACTAATGCTAGATTCCCCAATTCCCCCTAGCTTCAATCCACCCCAGCTAACTAATTAACTGAAAATAATAGTAAAAAAAATAAAAATTAAATATATTTAACCCCTGAGGGTTAAAAAAAATAAATAAAGCTAACCCCTAAAGGTTACATAGTTACATAGCTGAAAAGGGACTTGCGTCCATCAAGTTCAGCCTTCCTCACATTTGTTTTTTGCTGTTGATCCAAAAGAAGGCAAAAAACCCAGTTTGAAGCACAATTTTGCAACAAGCTAGGAAAAAAATTCCTTCTTGACCCCAGAATGGCAGTCAGATTTATCCTTGGATCAAGCAGTTATTACCCTACATTGAAAGATTATATCCTTGAATATTCTGTTTTTAGTAGCTGTTTGAACATCTGTATGGACTCTGATAAAACCACTTCTTCACGCAGAGAATTCCACATCCGGATTGTTCTTACAGTAAAAAAACCTTTCCTTTGCCTTAGACGAAATCTTCTTTCTTCCCGTCTAAACGCATGGCCTCGTGTCCTATGTAAAGTCCGGTTTGTGAATAGATTTCCACACAATGGTTTGCATTGGCCCTGAATATATTTGTATAATGTTATCATATCCCCCCTCAGGTGACGGTTTTCTAAACTAAATAGGTTCACATTTGTTAGCCTTTCTTCATAGCTGATATGTTCCATTCCTTTTATTAATTTTGTAGTTAAATTCTGTGGTTAAAAAAACAAAAAACTCTGATCACAGTAAAGTACTGTAATCAGTATTGTGATCACTGCTGTCAGTGATCAAAGGGTTAAAACCCTTGTTAATTTTAAAAGGTAAAGTAGTAAGGTTTTTTTTTTTAACTTTTAAACACTTTGTGTCTGTCAGGGACACAAAGTTTCAAATGATCCGTCTCTCTCCACCTCTAATCACACACAGAGGTGAAGGGAGGAGGATCACATGTGCCGGGACAGCGCTATTGGCTTTTGCTGGGCTTCCTCAAACGCAGAGGCACCTAGCAACAGCGTTAACCCCGCGATCGCGGCGATCTGGCGTTAACTTTAGTAATTGACGGAAATTTTCCGTCAAGCGTCCTTAAGGGTAGGTCTGCCTTGACGGAAAATTTCCGTCGAGCGTCGTTAAGGGGTTAAGACCGCAGCCAAATGTACAAGTTGTGATCCACAAAAAATGTAAACAAACCATAGAATTTTACTATATTTCTGTTCAACAATAATTTACCTCTTTCATATTAAATGCACCCACACTTATTATATATCATTTTATTCAGGGGAAACAGGGCTTCCATTTAACATCAAATATTTAGGTATGAAACATAATTTAATATGAATAAAATATAAAAAAATTAGAGAAAATAAGATTTTTAAAAAATGCTCTTAGTTCTACGTGACATTTTAACTGTGACTGTCATAATACTGTTTGCTTTTACTGCAATAAAATACACATATTTGTATTCAGCGATGTCTCACGTGTAAAACAGTACCCCCTATGTACAGGTTTTATGGTGTTGTGGGAAGTTACAGGGTCAAATATAGCATGTTACACTTTTCAGTTTTCATATTGAAATTCGCCAGACTGGTTACGTTGTCTTTGAGACCGTATGGTAGCGCAGGAATGAGAATTACCCCCATGATGGCATACCATTTGCAATAGTAGACAACCCAAGGTATTGCAAATGGGGTATGTCCAGTCTTTTTTAGTAGCCACTTGGTCACAAACACTAGCCAACACTAGGTAATTCTTATTCCTGGGCTACCATACGGTCTCAAAGGCAACGTAACCAATCTGGCGAATTTCAATGTGAAAAAACTGAAACGCAAGCCTTATATTTGACTCTGTAACGTTTGAAAACACCATAAAACCTGTACATAAGGGGTACTGGTATACTCAGGAGACTTTGCTGAACACAAATATTTGTGTTTCAAAACAGTAAAAAGTATTACAGCGATAATATCGTCAGTGTAAGTGCCGTTTGTGTGTGAAAAATGCAAAAAAAGTCACTTTCACTGACGATATCATCGTTGTAATACATTTTACAGTTTTGAAACACAAATATTTATGTTCAGTGATGTCTCCCGAGTAAAACAGTACCCCCCATGTACAGGTTTTATGGTGTCTTGGAAAGTTATAGGGTTAAATATAGTGCTAGCAAATTAAATTCACTAAACTTTCGGCCTGGGTTGTCAGACAGGTCCCGCAAATTGTAATTAATAAAAGGACCTAATTATGTAAAATTATTACATAAATATATATGTAAAATTATTATTATTATATATATATGTATATAATTTTTTTAAATTATTTTTATTTATATATAGGTATACATATGATATATACATATATTATTTCGTTCTACGTGTATTTTGATATCAATATATATAAATATTAATATCAAAATACAGTTAGAATGAAATTACACACATATATTTTTTAATTATTAATTTTTTTATGTATTTACATATTTTTTATTATATATAAATATATATAATTATATATATATTTAATCAATATCCTTCTACTTGTATTTTGATATATATAATTATATATATATTAATATTAAAATACACTTAGACAGTGTATGTGTAAATGTGTGTGTGTGTGTATATATTTATATATATATATATATACTTAGATCATACATATAATATATATATATGATCTAAGTATATTTTACTTATATTTTATTTTTAACAGGAGAGGGGCAGAGACAGTGTCAGACAGTGATTTTACATCACTGGCTGACACACAGGATCAGTGATCACAGTGACTGGCTGTCACTGTGATCACCTCCTGCAGATCGCGGTAATTGGCCACAGGGGGAGTGCCTGGGTGGCCAGGCATGCCCCCCACCGCGATCTGCAAGGGGATCCTGCCTGTAGTTACATATGTCAGCCTATTAGTAACTCTGATCGCAGTGACAGGCTGTCACTGTGATCAGATCTCAGTGAGAGGCTGTCTCTGCGATCAGATCGCAGAGAAAGCCTGTCACTGCGATCATACTCTGCAGATCGCGGTCACTGACAGCAGGGGGACTGCCTGGGGGCAAGGCATGTCCCCCGACCGCGATCTGCAGAGTGAAAATGCTGCGGCTCCATGTGTCAGACGATTTTAAAATTGGCTGACACATGGTAAATATCGATTGCAGTGACAGCCTGTCACTGCGATCGGAAGCTGCAGACCGCGGTCCCCGGGCACAGGGGGGTTGCAGGCATGCTCCCCAACCGCGATCTGCAGCGGCCATGTGCCGCCGGCCACATGGGAGGCAAGACCGCCCCAAATAGAGACAGCATAGAACGCCATGCGGTCTTAAGGGGTTAACAAAAATATGTTCCTTAGTAGGTCTTAAAATTAGGTAAATAAAACATCATATGAGCAACACAAGACATATTACACCATGTCTTTATTTACTTTACAAATAAAGGCAAAATCAACATGCCATGTGTGTAAAAACTAACTACATCTTAAGATTCAATAGCATGTAGAAGAACCACCTTTAGCAGCAATAGCTTGAAGTAATCATTTTCTTTATGACTATCTGTCTCTCACATCTTGTGAAGGAATTTTGGCCCACTCTTCTTTACAACGTAACATCAGTTCATTAAGGTTTGCTGGCATGTGTTTATATTCTCTTAAAGCTCCTTATTTATATTTAACTTTTGCAATATATAATTTTGCATTTTAACTATTTTATTGTTCTCAATTTTCTCTGTGTATTTACATGCATAGATTACTTTGCAACTTTTTATTGTATCAATAAATTTATGCATTTACTATACTGTTGTGCTTTTTAGATGCATTGTATAGATATATTCTCTTAAAATCCAGCTACAGCATTTCAATTGGGTTGAGGTCTGCACTGGGCCATTGCAACACCTTTATTCTTTTCTTTTCCAGCCATTCTGTTGTAGATGTGCTGGTGTGCTTGGGATCATTATCCTGTTGCATGATCTAATTTCAGCCAACCTTTAGCTCTCATACAGATTGCCTTCCATTTAACTATAGAATTCTTTGGTATACAGGAGTTCATGGACAACTTAATGACTACAAGGTTCCATGTCCTGTTGCTGCAAAACAAGTCCAAATCATCATGTCTCCACCACTGTGTTTGACAATTGGTATGGAATGTATGTGTTGATATGCAGTGTTTAACTTTCACGAAACCTGGTCTCCACTTTGATCCCATCTGTCCTAATGACATGATGTTGTTCGATAAGTCTTGTGGTTTGTTCAGATGAAACTTTGCAAACCTAAGAAATTATGTCATGCTATTTTTAGAGAGAAGATGCTTTCTTCTGGCTACGCTTCTAAAACCATACTTGTTCAGTCTTTTTCTAATTGTACTGTGCTAACTGCGGCCTGAAGTGTTAAGAGATGTAACTCTTGTTTTTTTTGCAATTTCTCTAAGCATAGCATGATCTGACCTTGGGGTGAATTTGCGGAGACATTCATTCCTGGGAAGATTGGCAACTGTCTTGAATGTTTTCAAGTTTTGAATAATATTTCTCATTGTAGAATGGACTTTACATTTTTGAAAATGGCCTTATAACCCTTTCCAGTTTGATGGGCAGCAACAATTGCTAATGTGTTAACACCATCGATTGTGTTAACACACACATGAATGCACCAGACCAGCAAACTGCTAAACCAGTTATAGAGGTGGTCACACTTGCTAATGATTAATTAATCATGGGCATTTTATTAGCAGCACCTGTCTGCTACTAAGCCTCATAATTTTACCACGACAGGAGGCAACATATTTTTCATTACTTTCTTAACTATAAATCTCCAGCAGCACATATCAATCAGAAAAAACTTATCGAAACAAAAACAAGTGTCAGTACAATATATAAGACAGGACTGCCCCCTACTCCTCCTCTTTCTTTGCTGCTCTTGCAGAGGCACAGGTCAGAGTGTTTATTTCTTACCTTGTAATTATATTATATTCCCTTACATGACTGATTTACTTGTATTCAGTTACTGCTTTCATTGTCTGTTCTTGCTGTACTTCACACTGCCTTCTCTCTCTATTTACAGCCCAATTCTTACTTCAGCCTGTCTCTCTAGAGCCGTTTTATGCCTTATCATGTCTTCTCCACTTTGCACGGTCTATCCGTAACCCTGTACTAACCTGACCGTGGTGTGGCGAGACACTGTGTGCATGAGGCGGGGGTCTCACCCATACTAATTACCCACCTGCTAGGTGCCCGGGGCTGTATACAGATATAACGTGGCGGTTTTCTTGTTTCTTTCTCTGGACCAGCGAGAGTACGGTTTATGTGCTTGGTATGCCTGGTGTGCAGACTGTTTGCTACAGGTGTGTGCCCCTGCTATAATACTGGGGTAAATCCCACATACCTACAGATTTGCTCCCCGGGACAGACCCTTATTAAGGAGCAATAGGGATGTATCCATAATCGATGTACCCAGTGACACTCTGAAATTCAAATATGTGAGGCACAAAGATAAGATATTTTCCCACATATAGAGGTACCTCCCCACCTGGTAGGGGACTTGGGGCGAAACCCCCTTTGGCTATTGGAGTCTATTAACACCTCCCCATATTTACAAGGGCATTTATTTGATCACCTTTATATGATCAGCCGCTCATTACGACCGGCACTGTGGTGACTTACATATACAAGGCACAAGCCAAATTGCATTGAGCTGGGGGTCTGCCCACCAAGCCTTAACTAAGCGAGTGGTCTAACACATATGTCCTCTACTCCATTGGACACATATACCAATATGTCGGACTCCCATCAACAAAGATAGGGTTTCCAGGCAATGGTAAATGCTGCAGTAGCAGCTTCAGTGGAGAATGCCATCTCCAAGATGTTGGCACAAACTCCACCTGCACTACGCGAACAAGGCATGGAGCCGACACCGCAAGATGCGGAAAGCAATATGACCTCCAAACCCTTGCAAAGCGCCGAGTGGGCCTCTGTGCCAAACGCTCGGGCTAAAGGGAAAGCACCTGCTAAACGCAGTAAGCACATGTAAAGACCAGAGCTACCTCCACCGGTGGCATCCTCTGAGGACAATGCACACCGCACCCGGCTCTTGACGTCATACACAGTGATTGGCAAGACGTGCCCACCTCCGACTCGAAACATGTCAAGGTATCCTACGCAGGAGATTCTCTCTCTCAAGATAAACAAGAATCCTTCATACAGGAAGGCAACAGGACCCTCTTTGGTCCTTAAACCATCCACCATCCATGTTCCTCAGAATGGAACCTGCCTACTCATTTGGCCAAGTTCATCCACTTCTGGACGTGCAAACCACTAGATAGAGTGGTATGAGCAATCCCTTAGGGCTGAATGTCCATGACCCACTCTACCAGACAAAATTGCATTCACCCCCGAATTTAACTAGACGGTGGTCGCCTTCATGTCTTGTACGGGCCGGGATCCCCGGAAAGGGATTGAGAAGGAACTCAAAGCGTCCCAGGACAAGCTACTGGACCTGCTTGGCCTTTTTGCCCAAATCCTATATTTCGCAGACCTGGCACTCTCCCAGGGCACACAGCTAGATCCCAATGCCATCATAGAATAGGCTCAATGCAGTATCTGTATGTTGGGGAATGCCAACGCAGTGTAATGCACAGAGACGCAAAACCACTTTGATCCGAATTGACTCGAACCTAATGAATATGGCACACAAAATAATGGCCAACGGCTTACTATTTGATGATTCGTTTATCGCACGTCTCCCTATTCACAACACTTAAAGCACAGTCTTCTATGAGACAAGTGTTCCGAGCACCACCAGAAAGAGGTGTTTTAGGGAGGGCTTGTCGGCAGAGGGTTCAGGCCACCAGCCTATTCTGAAATTCTGGCTCCAAACAAAACCCACCGTCTTCATGCTTCTACCCAGCATCCACCTCATTGAACCCATCCCTCTACAGGAGAGTGGACAGAGCTAGGGGCCAAGGACGCTTTAACATAGGTGAGTCCAACATTCCATGCAAACGTCTGTACTCTAACAGCGGACAGGTTATCCCTTTATTTACAGGGATGGGAGAGAATCTCATCGGACGCATGGATCCTACAAACTGTGCAAGGGTAAGTCATAGAGTTTCACTTATCACCCTGTCAACCACAATCCCCGCTACGAATCTCAGCAGACCACAAAGCCATGACAGACTAGAGCAGAACTCTTTTACAAAAACACGGTGCAATACACTCAGGGTGACGTTTTTTCCCAGAAACGGCAGACCGGTGGCTTCCAACCGGTCATCAATCTACAGCATCTCAACTATTTCGTAGCATACCATCATTTCAAAATGGAAGGAATCCACCTGCTTCACGATCTGCTCCTCAAAGACAATTACCATATTAGACCTCAAGGACGCGTACCTCTTGGTACCGGTAGCTCGGTCATGCCAAAAATTCCTACATTTCCGTTGGCACGGCCGGACATGTCAGTTCACCTGCCTACTATTCGGACTCAGCTCTGTGGTGCTTCACAAAGCTGCTCAAGCTGGTCATGGCCTGCCTTCGATCACTAGGGATACGATGCATAATCTACCTGGACGACTTGCTACTATTCTGTGACAAGGTTTCACGACTACGCTCTCAGACGAAATTTGTGGTAGACTTCGAGTCCTTGGGTTTCGTGGTGAATCACAACAAATCAGGGTTAGAACCTTCACAAGTGGTTCAATTCCTGAGTTTCAAGACAGACTCGACCACCTGCATGCTCCAACTGCCCCTCAAAAAGATAGCGGCAATGCGGAAAGAGATTAGGAAGGTTCTGAGTATGGATCACACCACGTTGCGTCTCCTCGCTCGGGTTGTGGGACCTGGGTCCCCTACACTACAGGGCTCAATATCTTCAGTCCTGACTATCATACGATCAGACAATACGACTAACAACCCAAGTTCGGACGGAACTCCGATGGTGGTTCTTTGTAATGGTATTAATAAGATTTATGTCTTAAAATAAAGCATAAGTTTAACCACTTAAAGGACCACTATAGTGCCAGGAAGACAGGGTGCCCCCACCCGCCGGGCTCTGGGGAGAGGAAGGGGTTAAAATCGTACCTTCCTCCAGCACCGGGCGGGGAGCTATCCTCTTCCACGACGTCATCGGTTGAATGCGCGGCAGGAGCGCATTTACAATGCTTTCCTATGGACGCTGGTATCTTTTCACTGTGATTTTCACAGTGAGAAGCACGCAAGCGCCTCTAGCAGCTGTCAAGAGACAGCCACTAGAGGCTGGATAAACCGTATTATAAACCTAGCAGTTTCTCTGAAACTGCTATGTTTATTTAAAAAAAAGGGTTAATCCTAGATGGACCTGGCACCCAGACCACTTCATTAAGCTGAAGTGGTCTGGGTGCCTATAGTGGTCCTTTAACCCCTTAAGTTCACATGACATGTGTGACATGTCATGATTCCCTTTTATTACAGAAGTTTGGTCCTTAAGGGGTTAAGGACCAAACTTCTGGAATAAAAATGAATCATGACATGTCACACACATCATGTGTCCTTAATGAGTTAATGTTTTAGAGGCCCACTAGGGGCAGTGTGTAGGAATCCTTAAGCCCTGTGCTTCTGGCAGTGACATCACAGGCCAGCATACTTGCCTTTCCACCATTCTCCATGTTGGCAACGGTGATACATCAAATACAAACCAAGAGGACATCCCTGCTTCTACTGACACCACTATGGCAGTCAAGCGTGGTTCCCGGGTTCTACTGGAATTATCCTACGACCATCCTCTCCTCATACCATTGTTTCCCCTTCTATTATCCAGACATCAGGGAGAGTCTCACCCACTTGAACGACAAACTAGTGGCCTGGACGATTTCAGGGTATCTTGGTCAACAGAAGGACCATCGCAGATCACTAAAAACCTACTATGGGATTCATGTGCATCCGGAACTAGATAAAATTACCTTGCTGTCTGGAACACATGGTCTAGCTGATGTTTGGAGAGTGACTCCGATCCCTTTACGACACCTGTTCCCATGATTTTAAATTTTCTCTCACTTATTCTCTTCTGGTTGTTCTTATTGGCCCATCAATATTACACGATTAGCAATTTCGGCAGCACATGTTCCTATCCAGGGTCTGCCAGTAGATCAAGAACCTCTGGTCTGCAGACTTCTGAGAGGTATTCGCCTATCACACTGTCAGGATCCAAAATATTCAAAGCTCTGGGACGTCAACATAGTACTTCAATTTTTACGGGCTTGGCCAGACGAGTCGCTGTCCCTATGTCAACTCTCAGCGAAACTCACAGTTTTGCTCTGCCTAGTCCCCTTCCTTCAGGTAGCGGACGTTCAGGGTTTTGAAAATCGACTGTTTGTCCTTTACCATGGACGGAGCGTCTTTTTCGGTGTCAAGGGACACTGACTAATTCAACTGCAGTTTTGTACCAATTTTTTCTTACGGAACCCAACTTTGCGTTAAGACCACATCCTCTTAACAAGACTCTTCGAAGAGCCAACTTCTGGTGTCATATATACTAAACCTCACAAACCAGTCTCTACAACAAGCCTTACTAAATGGGTACGTTGGCTTCTGACTTTAGCGGGTATCTATTCTTGTTTTAGCGCTCACTTTGTACGAGGCGCCGCAGCGACACGCTTTTTTCGACGGGTGCATCTCGCGGATATCATGCGTTCGGCCAACTTGTCGAAAGAGGAAAGTTTTCGGATCTTCTATTTTCGTCCTCTCACGCTTCCTTTTCTCTAGAGTTAAAAATGCAAAATACCTCCTGTCATATGCTAAAATTGTAGATTATGCCAACGTACTGTACCTATAATATTTTTTTGTAATGACAGGAGGCAAGTATTTTCCCTCCCTTTCCCCCTACCCTCTCATATTTTGACTTAATCTTTCTAAATGTTCTATTTCGTGTATGTTTCTATAGGTTGGGCAGTGATAAAAATATATATTCACATGTACAGATTAGATATTTAGTTGGTAATTTTCTGCATAATTTTTTACTTATAAGTTTTATATAATATGATCGCTCATACACTTCAATGTTTATATGCTGCCTACAGTTCATTACAAGTACCTGTCACTTGTTTCTTTTGAGTATAAAATTCTCCATTGTTGTTCCTACAAGAGTTACTTCGCTTGAAGTTCTCTTCTCAACCAAAATGTCCAAAAGATTTATCAAGTTCTACAGTTTTCAGTTTCTGTTAAGTTCACACCAAAGAAAGAGAAGGAGGGAGCAGTCCTGTCATATTGTACTGGCACTTGTTTTTGATTGGATATTTTTTTTTTTTTTGATTGTGCTGCTGGAGAGATATAGTAAAGAAAGTATTGCAAAATACTCACCTCCTGTTAAGACTTAGGTACACTATGTTAACAGAATATACAATTCCTATGAAAACAGTGTACTTCATTTTCCCCAAATGCGTTTTGGCTTTATTTTTGCTAAATGACATGGTGTAATATATGCTATGTGTTGTAAATCTGAGGTTGAATTTTAAGACCTGCTAAGTAAAGTTCTGTCCTGATATGTTAAGCCATAGAATTCAAAGATGGTGTACTTTTTCCCATAACTGTATTATAAAAGACATGCTAGGTTTGATGACAGTTGTCCTTTAATACAGAGTTCTGATCTCCACCAAGACTCCTGCAGCCTAGATTTGGGCAAGCAAGGCAGGGTTTTAAGGAAACGCAATGAATAATATTTTTTTTTTTTTTTAAATCTGGCTGAGCAGTCATGTTGGGTCAGACTATTGTTCTCGGACCAACTGTTTCTGAACCTAACTTGCCTGCTGCGTTAGTTTCAGACACCGCAAATATAGCAGTAGGCAAGTTAGGTTAAGCAGTAGTTGACCCAAACATGACTATTCATCCAGATAAAGCAACATTTTAAATTAAAATAATGATTCATCTTCAAAGGGTTACCCTACCTGCCCCCACGCCAAAAAAAAAATAAAAAAAATAAAAATCATAAAAACACTGGTCTTACCCCAATTAAAAACAATAAATGAAACCCTAGAACTTACCTATGTTCTATTGCAGAGTTCAACTTCTCCCGTCATACCAATACTGCTTACACATGACACTAGCCGGCCCTGAAGTTTTATAGCCATACATTGCACACAGACCCCATGCACTATGACCATCTCAAATCACTCACCAAGTGGCACTAGCACTTCAGTTCTTTCATAAAGATACAATACGTATTAAAAACTCAAAGCTTTGTAATTTGAGTTTAGTTTTGGCAAATGTGGCAACACGTGAGCGGTTCAGATACATCATCCTGGAATTTCCAGCATAGAATTGTTCATGCGCTAATATATATAAATAATGTATCTTGCAGTCTTGTAGGAACTTCCATAGATCAGTATTACACACTCAAGTGTAACACACAAAGCCATCAAGTGCTAAAGAGAGAGAGAGATGAAAAACCATGACTGTCTGAAGAGAAAGTACACAGCAAGTATTTTTCTTCACCCCACAAGTGATAGTATCACTTTAAAATTATAAAATTTTACAATTAAGGAGAAAGGTCTTAATCACAAAGAAAATTAGCATAAATAAGTAACCAGAGTCATCTTACAAGGTCATAAAAATGTATTTGGCATTTTTAACAAGTGCATACAAATACAGCTAAAAGCATTTCTGTTTTTCCAAGTGCTCTAAAAAGCATCTCAAATCACAGCCTACACAGAACTTTCACTGGATAAGAACAAATACTTGCAAAACATAAAAAAAAAAATGGAATACCTTCCTGATCAGTAAGTACATATCTTTCAAAAATAGAAACAATATATTGAAAAATTAAAAATTATACAGCCATATTTATGCAGTGTAAGTTTCCCTTCGGGTGTGTGTATATATGTAGAAAGAAATGGACATTATATACATATGGATATATATATACACACACGCACACACACACGCACGCACACATTTTAGTTACAGATCATGGTGACAAAAATAATTTTTCCAAAGTCAAGAGTCTCTCTCTTTTTTCACTTTTACATCCCCAGCAAGAATAGTGGCAATTTCTCCTTGCATGAAAGCCCAAGGTACGTTTGATCCCACCAGAGGGCATTTTTCTCCACTTGGACAATACACCTCTCCTGTTGAACCTTGTTGTTTAATACTTTGCCTTGAACAAGGAAAACAAAACTTATGAGAAGGTACAGAAGGACACTGTACAAAATGTGTGTCCTCAAGACGCTCATGACAAAGAGTGCAACATAGAGGTACACTGTTAGTTATAGAGGAGTCAGGAATGCTTTGAGGGTGTATTTGTTCCATTCCTGAATGGGATGATGGGCCTCCACTTGGAAGTTGACTTTGCACTTCCCTGGGAGCCATTCTTCTTTGGTTCATAGAGGAAGGTGATGGAGGGCTGTTACTGTTTCTCCTTGTTGTAGAGTGAACCTGGTTACCCTCTTTCGATCCATGACTACTACCAGCATTGTCAGCCACCAATATGAGAGCAGCCATTGGAGATTGGCCATTCTGAGCAGCCTCAGGTGGTGTCGTACGGTTGGAATGAGGAGATACAGTAGAAGGCTGAGAAATAAAAGATGAATTTGTCATTGTAGAAATCTTAAGGCCATCTGCTGTTGGCAGCCACGTCTGTCCATCACCATTTATCTTAACAGAGCCTCCTTCTCCTTCAGGCTCAGGAGATGGTTTACGTTTTCTGGCAGCACGAGCACCTGCAGAGAGGAATGGAATGAGTTAATTCGAACAAATATGTTTTTTGGACTAGCATACAAATTTAAGATCGCAAAACCTACATTTCTTGCTTTAACAACCTTCAAATTAACTCATTAAAACTTTTCTTTGGTTTGAGTTATCTTGTTCCTTTTATAGATTTTTTGGTATTGCTATAGTTGAATAAAGGAACACAAACATGTATTCCTGACCCTATAGTTTTAAACCCACCTCTTAGGTGGCTTGTCCCCACACCCTCCTTAGCCACCCTATACAAGTTTTTTTTTTTTTTTTTTAAAAACACCTCCCCTTATTTCCAGCGCTGCGTGGGTCCGCCGGCATTGGCTCCACCACCTTTGTGATACCATCAAAATGGTCGATTTTTAGCCAATCGCATTGGATTGGCTAAAATCGGGGCGGAACAAATGCCACTTCGGCCAATCAGGACCTCCTCATAGAGATGCATTGAATCAATGCATCTCCATGAGGAAAACTGTCTCCATGCAGAGCGTTTTTACTTACCTGAACTTGTCCCTCGCAACTGCCGCAGTAGTCTTCCTGCCACTCCCCTTCAGCTCCTGGCGCTTCAATTGCCAGTAGCAGATATCAGCGCTGTACTCTTGCATTAAGGTCTATGGAGTACCCAGTTAGATCCTCCATAGAAAGATCTTAATTCACTACAGCCCTCACTGGGGACAGCTGGGGGAAATGATAAGACTTGGCAGAGGTAGCTCAGCCTATTGTCAAGTAAAGGAAAAATAAAAGCAGTCTCTACTTTGTCTCAGAATATCTTTTGACTGGGTTGGAATCTCAATAAAATTGACATTTGGCATCTTCTGCATCACATAATTGCTGTGCATGTGCAGTAGACACCCAATGTTTTTCTATGGAGAAATAGTTAACAGGCTGAGATCACTAATTCTGATTTCAGCCAAGGATGGAGAAGCAGTGCAAATTTAAATTGTCAGGATTACACGGTTAGAAATAAATGTTTGTATTTCTGAATTTAGTTTCTATTTAACTGCTAATAAAAGGCACAGGCTGTCCTACTGGTCACCATGCTGGGGACAGAAGGGAAGAAAGTGGAAGAGGCACAAGTGACAGGACCAGTAAACACGATATGACATAAGACAGCAGGAGGGGGTAAAGGTCCCCATAAAAATGGGGGACGGAGTAGCACTATGTTATAAACATGAGAAATGGCGAAGATATTAAAAAGGCAGACAAGGGTGCTGGAGATCTAACACCCATTTAAAATCATAGGATATTTACGTAAGACCCTGCAAAGGAGAATTAAAGTATAAAAACTACAGCCAATGCATTCTATAGGTTTTTAAAACAAAACTATATTCAAGACCATTAAAAAAACAAAAATATAACATTCAGGACTGCTAGTTAATGCACTTAAGGGCGGCACAGTCATGGCCGAATCCAGTTTTGTTTTTTAATCCCCCTCCCGACTCCACTATATCTAACTGACCCCCTAGTCACCCCCAAATGCCCCTAAGTCCCCCCATATTACCTATTTTTTGACACTTTATTTTCTGCCCCGATCTATATTCAGAGCGCCGCCATCTTTGTGTGGGTAGAGGAAATCCCTGTGGTACATGTCATCTTCCAGCACTAGATTAGGGATCGACCGATTATCGGTTTTACCGATATCAGCTGATATTCGTCATTTTCAGCAATATCGGTATCGGCCAATAAAAATACCGATATTGCCGATAATACCTCCCAGGACCGCCGGGCCCATTACAAGCCAGGCGGTCCTTGAGGGCCCGCAGCAAGCTGTGACTTGCCTTCCCAGCAGCTCCCCAGTGTAAATCTCGCGAGTCCCGCGGCCGTCAGAGCATTGCCACTGGTTACCATGGCAATGCTCCGCGCGCCACAGACCGCAATATTTACACTGGGGAGCTGCTGGGGAGGCAAGTCACAGCTTGCTGTGGGCCCTTCACTGCTCAGTACATGCCACTGGACCACCAGGGACTGTCATCCCCCCTCCCTGGCCAGGTAACAAGCAGGGAGGGGGGGACAAAAAATAAATAACATAAAAGTTAAAATATTAAAAAAAATTACATCCCTTTAGAAACACACACACACACACACACACACCGCATTCACTATATACACACACACACACACACACACCGCATTCACTATATACACACACACACACCGCATTCACTATATACACACACCGCATTCACTATATACACACACCGCATTCACTATATACACACAC